CCTTGGAAAAAAAAAACATGGCCCATCCTGATATCATTTCACATAAATTTAGGTTAAACTACACATGTGGGGTTCTCGCGTCCTGTTTTTTTTTAGAAGCCAGTTGTGGTTGAGCCACGTCAGCCCCAAACACAGCATGTCATCCGCGTACCCAAGAACATAAACTATTTTCCTATGGACCATGTAATTAGTGAGAAGGGGCCTTTTTCGGCAAAAAGGGCAGTCTGGCATGTACAATCACACCAATGAACTTCATGCACATGGTTCATGCTGGCACGAAGCTCTCAAACCCGCAGTCCTTCTCTTCTAGCAGAGTTGACTCCAAAAGTTTCTTGCCTGTTGCGGTTCGGGGGCTCCTTGGCTCAAGCGCGTACAGCTCCCCGTGCCGAAGATGCCAAAAGACCGCTGCAGCCTTGACTAAGATCCACGCAGAAGCCGGCGGAACGCAAAAGGCGACGATGTGGTGTACCTCTGGCCCATTCTTGAACCAAGGTGTGACGATGAGACCACCTGCTGAACTCGAGGCAGTTGCATGTTGAAGTCTGGATCCGCTGCAAAAGCAATGCCTTCCAGCCTTCACTGCAAGAAGGCGCCAATGCGCGGAATTGTGTGCTAAAGGTTTCAACATGGTTAAGTAAAAAGCCCCTCTCGTGGATTTTGATGATTGAAGCCCAGCTGCGTCACGAACGACCGCATCACAAGTATGTAGTACGACCTAGTGGGATGATTTGATGAGCAATAGCAGCGACCGCCAATCACTACTGTCTGCACATTTCAGGCTTGTTAAGTGCGGGGCGGCAGGGTGAAGTAGTAACCTACGTCCGCACCAGCATGGCGAGAACAAACGAACAACCCGAGTGCAGGTAGTTAGTTCTCTGCTGAGCTTGGAATCTGACGAAATGCCAAGTTGCTGAGCTCCTCGTACAACCTAATGCAGCCACTGCCACTCACTAGTAGCAAAAAAATAGCAAAAGCTAGTTAGACGCTTGCACAAATCCAGTCGCAGTTTGGCGGGTAAGTGGTACATAATGTTGGAGGAGGAGCTCTAATCACATGCTGTGCTCCAGGTTTTAAGCCTGATGATGGCTCTATTTCCCCAGCTCCTCCCGAACTGCTGAAGTTGCTGCGAGAAGGGACTCCCAGCTTGGAGAATCATCGTGGCTAGCGAGGATACCTCGTGAAAATCTTGCCATCCCGGTAGGACTGAATAAATTATGCCGTCGGTTTGACTGGCGAGCTGTCAGAAACTAACAGTCACTCTCAGCTGGGAGGGCTTGAGCAGTTTGGTTTTGATGAAGAGACAATAAAGAGAGATCAGAACTCGACTTGGTGTTTGCTGCAGCCCTTTTCTGCGCAAGGACATTCCAACCAGATTCCAAAAGGAACGGTTGGACAGCGATTGCATGGCCAGTTGCAAGGTAATGATTTTGGTGAGCTGCATAGCCATGCACGTGATAGCCCTTGTCTTCCAAGCATGCCATTGCCTCAAACGAGTTGCATCAGAAAGGGTTTACCCTCTTTCCGTAAGACTACAGCAAACAAACCCCATAACCCTGCTTTCCATACTATCAGTCTTGACCTTGCGCAGACTCCTTTTTACTGCTTACAGTTTTTCGCACCCGTGAATGCTTGAGCTTCGTTCTTGCGAGCAGCGTTGAACCTAAATATTGTCGTACGAGACTTTTTTGCTAGGTTCTTGAACTCTGGCACCTTCTCAAAATGCAGAACCTCAATCGCAGGGCTGTACCCTTATGCAACACATTTAATTTGAGTGAGTTTTCCTTGCATGTGTTTCTGCAGGCCAGTATTCGAAATGCGGCCACTACGGTTCTAGCAAGAATTCCTGTTGGCTTTACCACCGCGTGACACTTCCTTCGAAATGTTCACCTTTAGTCCTATTTGGTCCCACTCGTTGAATCCCCTGGAGGAGAGTCTTGACGGCAGCGTGGGCCTGGATCAGGCCCTCCCATGCTACTAAGAAATCGTCAGCCAATCCTCTAAAATTGTTCTTGACCTCGTCCGGAGGCAGTCTTGCTTCCAGCGTCTTCCAGCTCTTCCAGCATCAAAACAATCTGCAGCCTTTTTCATGCTTCGAGTCGAAGTGAAAGACCCAGAGCTGCGGCGGTATGAGACCGTGTATGAAGAATTGAGATGAGGTTTGTGAGACCAATGCCTGGTCGTGGTCTGACGCCATTCTTCGAAGGTATTTGATTAAGAATACCCTGTTGACTTTATCAGAAGCCTTGGACAAATCTTAGCTAAAACCTTGCAATGAGTGTTCGCCCGCGACGTTGAAAAGCAAGCTGAACAGTCCTAGTTAGTTGGTTGGATGTTTT